GAGGAACGAAGGGGGGACACCAAAGGGCGAGGAACGGAAGGGGGACAGCTAAGGGGGAGGAACGGAGGAGGGACAGCAAAGGGGGAGGAACGGAGGGGGGACAGCAAAGGGCGAGGAACGGAGGGGGGACAGCAAAGGGGGAGAGACGGATGGTGGAAAGCAAAGGGGGAGGTACGGAGAGGGGACAGCAAAAGGGAAGGAACAGAGGGGGGACAGCAAAGGGGGAGAAACGGATGGGGGACAGGAAAGGGGGAGAAACGGATGGGGGACAGCAAAGGGGGAGGAACGGAGGGGGGACAGCAAAGGGGGAGAGACGGATGCGGGACAGAAAAGGGGGAGGAACAGAGGGGAGACAGCAAAGAGGGAGGAACGGAGGGGGGACAGCAAAGGGGGAGGAACGGAGGGGGGACAGCAAAGGGGGAGAGACGGAGGGGAGACAGCAAAGGGGGAGGAACGGAGGGGGGACAGCAAAAGGGGAGGAACGGAGGGGGGACAGCAAAGGGGGAGAAACGGAGGGGGGACAGCAAAGGGGGAGAGACGGATGGGGGACAGCAAAGGGGGAGGAACGGAGAGGGGACAGCAAAAGGGGAGGAACGGAGGGGGGACACCAAAGGGCGAGGAACGGAAGGGGGACAGCTAAGGGGGAGGAACGGAGGGGGGACAGCAAAGGGGGAGGAACGGAGGGGGGACAGCAAAGGGGGAGGAACGGAGGGGGGACAGCAAAGGGGGAGAGGCGGATGCTGGACAGCAAAGGGGGAGGTACGGAGAGGGGACAGCAAAGGGGGAGAAACGGATGGGGGACAGGAAAGGGGGAGAAACGGATGCGGGACAGGAAAGGGGGAGAAACGGATGGGGGACAGCAAAGGGGGAGAAACGGATGGGGGACAGCATAAGGGGAGGAACGGAGGGGGGACAGCAAAGGGCGAGGAACGGAGGGGGGACGACAAAGGGAGAGGAACGGAGGGGGACGGCAAAGAGGGAGGAACGGAGGGGGGACAACAAAGGGGGAGGAACGAAGGGGGGACGGCAAAGGGGGAGGGTCGGAGGGGGGACGACAAAGGGGGAGCGGCGGAGGGGGGACGACGAGGGGGTGGAACGGAGGGGGGACGGCCAAGGGGGTGGAACTGAGGGGGGACGACAAACGGGGAGGGATGGAGGGGGGACGACTGAGGGGGAGTGGCGGAGGGGGGACGACAAAAGGGGGAGGAGCGGAGAGGGGACGACCAAGGGGGGGGGAACGGAGTGGGGACGACAAAGGGAAAGGAAAGGAGGGGTGACGGCCAAGGGGGAGGAACGGAGGGGGGACGACAAAGGGGGAGGAACGGAGGGGGGACAGCAAAGGGGGAGGAACGGAGGGGGGACAGCAAAGGGGGAGGAACGAGGGGGGACGGCCAAGGGGGAGGGACAGAGGGGGGACAGCAAAGGGGGAGGAACTGAGGGGGGACGACTAAGGGGGAGGGGCGGAGTGGGGATGAGAAAAGGGGGGAAACGGAGGGAGGACGACAAAGCGAGGAGGAACGGAGGGGGGACGACAAAGGGTGAGGAACGGAGGAGGGACGACAAAGGGGGAGGAACGGAGGGGGGAGGGCAAAGGGGGAGGAACAGAGGGGGACGACAAAGGGGGAGGAACGGAGGGGGGACGGCAAAGGGGGAGGAACGGAGGGGGGACGACAAAGGGGGAGGAACGGAGGGGGACGGCAAAGGGGGAGGGACGGAGGGGGGATGACTAAAGGGGAGGGGCGGAGGGGGGATAAGAAAGGGGGGGAAACGGAGAGGGGAAGATAAAGGGTGAGGAACGGAGGAGGGACAGCAATGGGGGAGGAACGGAGGGGGAACAGCAAAGAGGGAGGAACGAGGGGGGACGGCCAAGGGGGAGGGACGGAGGGGGGACAGCAAAGGGGGAGGAATGGAGGGGGGACGACTAAGGGGGAGGGGCGGAGTGGGGATGAGAAAAGGGGGGAAACGGAGGGAGGACGACAAAGCGAGGAGGAACGGAGGGGGGACGGCAAAGGGCGGGGAACGGAGGGGGGACGACAAAGGGTGAGGATCGGAGGAGGGACGACAAAGGGGGAGGAACGGAGGGGGGACGGCAAAGGGGGAGGAACGGAGGGGGGACGACAAAGGGAGAGGAACGGAGGGGGGACGGCGAAGAGGGAGGAACGGAGGGGGGACGACAAAGGTGGAGGAACGAAGGGGGGACGGCAAAGGGGGAGGGTCAGAGGGGGGACGACAAAGGGGGAGCGGCGGAGGGGGGACGACGAGGGGGGGGAACGGAGGGGGGACAGCCAAGGGGGTGGAACGGAGGGGGGAAGACAAACGGGGAGGGATGGAGGGGGGACGACTGAGGGGGAGGGGCGGAGGGGGGACGACAAAAGGGGGAGGAGCGGAGAGGGGACGACCAAGGGGGGGGGAACGGAGTGCGCACGACAAAGGGGAAGGAAAGGAGGGGTGACGGCCAAGGGGGGCGAACGGAGGGGGGACGACAAAGGGGGAGGAACGGAGGGGGGACGACAAAGGGGGAGGAACGGAGGGGGGACAGCAAAGGGGGAGGAACGGAGGGGGGACAGCAAAGGGGGAGGAACGGAGGGGGGACAGCAAAGGGGGAGGAGCGGAGGAGGGACGACAAAGGGGGAGGAACGGAGGGGGGACGGCAAGGGGGGAGGGTCGGAGGGGGACGACAAAGGGGGAGCGGCGGAGGGGGGACGACGAGGGGGGGGAACGGAGGGGGACGGCCAAGGAGGAGGAACGGAGGGGGGACGGCCAAGGGGGAGGAACGGAAGGGGGACGACAAACGGGGAGGGAGGGAGGGGGGACGACTGAGGGGGAGGGGCGGAGGGGGACGACAAAAGGGGGAGGGGCGGAGAGGGGACGACCAAGGGGGGGGACGGAGTGGGGACGACAAAGGGGAAGGAAAGGCTGAGGGACGGCCAAGGGGGGGGAACGGAGGGGGAACGACAAAGGGGGAGGAACGGAGGGGGGACGACAAAGGGGGAGGGACGGAGGGGGGACGACAAAGGGGGGGGGGGAACGGAGGGAGGACGACAAAGTGGAGGGAACGGAAGGGGGACGACAAAGTGGGAGGGGCCGAGGGGGGACGAGAATGGGGGGGGAACGGAGGGGGGACGACAAAGGGGGAGGAACGGAGGGGGGACGGCAAAGGGGGAGGAAAGGAGGGGGACGAGGAATCCTCGCCAGCGCCAGCGCCGGTGCTAGCGCCTATTCGCCAGTGCCAGTACCAGCGCCAGCGCCAGCACCAGCGCCTAGTCGCCAGCGCCAGCGCCGAATCGCCAGCGCCAAAATGCCAGCGCCGAAATGCCAGTGCCAGCGCCAGCGCCAGCGCCAGCGCCAGCGCCAAAGCGCCAGCTCCAAAGCGCCAGCGCCAGTGCCAAAGCGCCAGCGCCAGCGCCAGCGCCAAAGCGTTAGCGCCAGCGCCAAAACGTCAGCGCCAGCGCCAGCGCCAAAACGCCTGCGCCCGGCGCCAAATCGTCAGCGCCAGTGCGACCAGCGCCAGCACCAGCGCCAAATGCTTAGCGCTAGAGCCAGCGCCAGCGCCAGCGCCAGCTCTAAGGAAACGCGCCTAGCGGTTCTACACTTACCAGGTAAATAAGCTGATGAAAACTTGAAAGTCCGGAAGGCTTGTGAGAAGGAATGTGAGGAAAGCTGAAAAGCTAGCTGAGATGAATGAATGTCTGAACGAGAAACGCACGAGGAGCAGGAAACAAAAAAACGCTTTGGGAGGAGGAAGGGAGAAACGCACAGGAACGACGAAGCAAGAAACGTAAACCCCATCTCGATGCGCGTTTTGTTGTTTGTACTGTACAGAACACGAGGTACTGTAGTCAGGTTTCTCAGGTACTGTAGTTGCCGGTTTCGACTTCAAGCTGGTACAAGCTTGTGACACCACATGCGATACTTGAGGTACCTCACCCCGTAATGATTAGGCTTCAGAATGTTTCGTCAATAATTCATTCAACAGGAACAAGCAGGTTTCTTGCGTAGTTTCGGCTTCGTCACGTGTTTGGATGCCAAATCCAGCGTGTTACAGCCTAATGCTATAATGATGAGGCTACAGAAGAATGTCAAAATCATTATATGAATATAAGCATGATATCATTACATGTGTATACTTAAATTAATTTAATCATTATATAAGTATATTCATGTCAATATAATATATACGTCAAAATCATCATTATGCGAAAACCAGTATGTGAATATCATAAGATTAATATCTATATTATATCACTATATGTGTATATTTATATTAATAAACCCTTGATGTGACCTAGACAAATGTGAAAAGCCTGTATTGTGCTCAACGCGCTCATTGTAATACGATATAAATTACATTTGTACATTTTCTCCCATCCAGACTATAAAGAATCATATATACTCTTTGTAGTATCATATATATCATTATTTAAATATCATTATTTAAATGTCATTATTAAATTATAATTATTTATAATATTATTACGAGATAATTTGATTCCCAATCAAATCATTTATTCCTCTTAACTTATACAATTATGAACTTTAATATGAAATGTAAATTTAAACGTCATACTAACTGTATTATTCTTAAGATTCTACACATTGGAAATCTATAGACTACGCAACCCTTCCGACGCTTGGGTGTCGAGCCTTGTTACGTTTTGGTTCACACAACATTCTAGATAAGCATGCCGTATAGCGAACTGTATCAACTAGAGCATCTTTGGTGGAGGTGCACTGCCCGAACGCAAAAAAAGTCCCGAATGCACATGAATTCATCAGCCATGGTGTGGAACGGTCAACGGTCGATGCAGCCTTGCTTCGTGCTGACTTTTTGCGGAATGCACTTGACTGGCTCCAACCTCCCTCTTCGTCTCTCCAATCCCCCCCCCCCCACCGTCCTTCCAAAACCTCCCTTCCCTGGGTCGTCATGGGCTGCCAGATCACGTTCCCTTCCCTCCCGTTTTATGTTACGAGCTTCTGAGCCGAGGGCAGTGGTTTCCCATTTGCCAGTGTTTTTTCCGCCAAGGTCTTCTACACGTCCAAGTTTGTTCCACGCCTCCCGTCCATTCGTGCATTCCCATCCCACGCCAACCACTCCAACATCAAGCAGTCTTCAGCAGCACTGCGCTTTCATGGGATTACAAATCGAGCTACAGCTCATGATTGCTTTCATACGTCTGCTTTCACCAACACCACTTCTCTCGCTATCACTAGCGCTACGCCTCAAGCTAGAGCTCGTGTGCGCTCTAGAAGTCTGTCTCCCTACTCAAATCAATTCAGTACCACTGCCTAGTCAAGTGTCAAGGTGTGCATCACGAGCTAGAGCCCTACGACAGATCGAAGGTGATTTTTTAGTCGACTCAGCAATAAAGTATTTCGAGCACGTCCCGAGCTAGAGCTGCGCTCTACCATCGATCGGTCACACCGTTTCTACCACCACGCTCTCTCCCTTTCGCGTCTCTCGTCGGCCAGTGTCCGTCGTCGGCTGTCTTTCGAGTCGACTGAATAGTTTGTCTCGCAATGGAGTCATTCTGAGTCGACTCAAGTGATGTTCGCCGGCCGAAGGTCCCTTGGTAGTATCACCACGCGCGTTCTCCCTTTCACAGCCTCGCTCGTCGGCCGTCATGCGCCGCATTTCAGAGATCTGCTCAATTTGTGACCTAGTCGGCCTCCTTTTCCTCTCCCTCTCCCTCGCTCTCGCGGCCGGCTCTTCCGCATCTGGTACGGACCGTGATTCGGAATCACATCTGGAGTTCTTTTTACACTCCCGGCGCTCGCAATCCGTTCATCCACCCAACCATCCAAGCATCCAAGCATCCAAGCACTCATAGATAATCTTCCCCCTCCCGCCTCCCCCCTCCCCCTCCCCTCTTTCTCCCTCCTCTTCCCCCCCCACGACCCCACCCCCCCCCCCCCCCCCCCCCCCCCCCAAACCCCCACCCTGCCCCCTCCTCTCCCGCTGCTGCCCCATTGCCATTTCACAATTCAGACGTCCCCCATCCATGGGTCTGCCCCTGCGATTCCTCTGTCAACCCATCACTTCCCCCACCACCTGACGGCTCCGTCCCCGCTATAGACATCTCCTTTAAGGGAGAATTCGGGTACGAGCTGATCGCAGTCCTTCCCCACGCCTACTGGCATTTTCTAAACGGCACACTCAGATCGACCAAGTCCTGTGGCTCCTCCCTCTCCCTCCTCTACTACTTCAGCCCAGCCCATTACACTGATCCCCATTGCAAGCGCTCCAACAATTTTAATTACGTGATTAAACAGTATGGTTTTACCGAGGGCCTTCATTTTAGTGACATTCCGGAGTATTGGCACCCCCCTCCTATAGTGCAGCGGACTCGGGAGCTTGGACGGGTGTGGCTGGATGTGCCTATAGGGTCGCCGCTGGTGATTATAAGCAACAAGGTTGAGATAGAATGGGGTGGACCCCCCGTCAATTTCATCGACATGTCTACACTCCTTACAATCATTCACGAGTTTCTCAATAACGGGTATTTTGTGGTGTATAACCGGCCCGGGAGATCTATCAGAGTGGATCCGGAGCAAGGAGACATGTTCGACTTTGAGGATCATCCTAGGCTGGCTGAGGAGTTTGGTACGGAGGCTCGGTTCCAAACCATGCAGCAGATTCATGAGGCTTGGCCAAACCTAGGTTTCAACGAGGTTCAGTTTAGAATGATGGCTAGAAGCTCTTGCTTTGTCAGTGTACAGGGGGGTGGTTCTGTGCTGTCGAGTTATTGGGGTGGGAAGAACATAATTTTTTACCGGAAGGGGTGGGAGGATAAGGGAAGGGCTTATGATAGGATCTATCATAGGATGTCTGGGGCAAGGATAGAGGTGGCTAGGGCATATGAAGTGCTGGTGGATAGAGTGCAGGAGATGATTAGAGAAGAGCGCTGTAGGGCTGTGTGATGCACATGTGGTGCAAATTGTTTCATACTTAACGGCTGGAGTACGTTTTAAGATATAAGTGTACGCGCTTGGAAATGTCTATACATATACACGAGATGCCACTTTTGAGGGCATTTTGTTGCTGGGTGGCCATCCTGTGCGTGGCAATTTCATGAGGTTCCTGCTTGACTCGCTGCCGTGCCTATCCTCCCAGCCTCTGACGAAGCTCAGGTCAGGGGATCAGTTCGTTCAGTACGGTTCAGTAAGGTCCTTCATGCTATAAAATGGTTCACTACTCTACCGTATTGAACCGCAACTCAGCAAACAATACCTTGGCGCAAGTAATTTGAAAAACGACACCTCTCCCTCAGGGCGTGTCCAGCGCGTACGCTTTTTTGTCAAAACCCTACCCAACCGTTTTATATTTGCAATCGATCATTCTGACCCGTGAGACACCTCGCCCAACCGCAATCTAACGTACGCGCTGGACACGCCCTCACATCATCGCTCATCCATATGGTAGATCCCCTTGCTTGGCATTGCCAGCAGCAAGCACATTCACCACCATCCATGCTGTCAGTGTGGTGTGGTGCTAACTAGTGTACCTCCCCCAACGAACCACGGGCATCCTAGGTGTCCCATACTCATTGGCAGAGGTGCCGCTGACCCGCCGTGAGTTGCGGCGCCACGCGTGCTCCCGTGATCGTGTATTCTCAGTCACGGCGCGCTTCGTGTAGAACACGCTTTACGTTCTGTTCCATTTAGTCTCTCTTCCGCATCTCGCTCGAATTGAGAGGATTTGCGTGATTCGTTCCGTAACAGACAGGCTGCTGCTGACCATACAAAGCGTGATTCGTTCCGTACGAAGCGAATGACGTGACCTTCCGTTTTTCTAAGTCTCTCACTAGTGAGCTGGGATGCGCTCCCTTAGGATAAGAAGATGAGGTGTGTTGAACGGCTGGGATTCGCGCTCGGCCATCACTGACAAGAGACGTCCGGTTTTGTCACCTCTCGAATAGTCACTACCGCTCTGAGCCTGATCACCGTCAACACCTTGTCGATAACTGCTAACGACAGCTAACGACTGCTCACGACTGTTAACGACTGCTAACGACTGCTAACGAGCTTGCCTTCCCTGCCGCCGCGACAGCTCCGGCTCAGTTCCTCCTCTCACGAAACCATGGATTTCGGTTTCAGCCTCTTTTTACCCAAACGGCAAACGTCCGAGCCTCCAAAGCCTGCACTTCCCGATGCTCCAGGTGCGTCGGCTGCTACGAGCCCCCGAGCCTCTGCTGCTTCCGCCTCGGGATTTCCTTCCGCTTCCTCCTCGTCTCTCCTCTCCTTCGGTCCTTACCTCCCGCTAGCACACGCCGGCGACGCTACTAGCGGCAGTCATCTGAGCGCATCAGGCGCCGCGATTCCCGCTAGCTCCTCCTCGTCCTCCACCGCCTCCTCTTCTCACGGCCATGCCGCCGCTCCCGCGAATCGCGGCGGGTTTTCCGGCGCAGCTCGTGCCGGATTGCCTGTCGGGAGTAGGGAATCGGGGGGAGGTGGATCTGGGGTCGGTGGGTATGGTGGAGATGGAATCGGAGGAGGTTTAGGGCATTCTGGAGCGGGTGGGGAGGGAGTGACGGGGAGAGGAGCAGTGAGGACGGCTTTGGGTGATGGTGTTGGTGGTGGTGGTGGGGGTGGAAGTGGTAACCATGTTACCAGAGGGTTTGATGGTGGAACCGGTGTTGTTAGTGGCGCATGCACAGTAAGAAACGCAGTTGTGGGGACAGGAGGCATGGGAGGGGTAGGAGTAGGAGGAAAAGGAGGAGGAGGAGGAGGAGGAGGAGTAAGAAGAGCAGGGAGAGAAGGAGCGGGGTTTCTAGACAGCAGGATAGGAGGAGAAGCAAAGGGAGATAGGAGCAAGTCGGACGTGCTGTCTCGCGACCTGTGGATGAAGGACAGCCACGCGTTGCACTGCTATGCATGCGACGCGCAGTTCACCATCCTCAACCGCCGCCACCACTGCCGCCGCTGCGGGCGGGTCTTCTGCGGCCGCTGCACCCAGCGCTCCATCCCCATGCCCTTCCTGCGCCGGGATCAGCCCAGACCCTCGGCAGCAGCTGCTGCTGCTGCTGGTGCTGCTGGTGGTGCTGCTGGTGGTGCTGCTGGTGGTGCTGGTGCTGGTGCTGGTGCTGGTGGTGCTCAGGAGGCTGCTACTGAGAAGGTTCGGGTGTGCGACCAGTGCTACGCCGAGGCTCTCAGCTTGCCTCGGAAGGACTCCCTGCCTAGGGGTGCAGGCTCGGCGTTATGGGGAGCGGCGGAGGTGGGAGAGGGGGGACGAGGAGGGCGAGAGGGGAGAGGAGAAGGGGGAGAGGGGAGGGGGGGAAGGGGAAGGGTGGGAGGAGGAGTAGGAGACATGTGGGAGCCGGGAGGGGCGGAGAGGAGAGGACTGGGAGGAGGGAGGGAACGGGGTGGAGGAGGAGGAGGGGGGGTGCTTGGGCCGGGGCTGGGCGCGCTGAAGAGCGTTTCAGCGGGGGAGGGGTGGGGGGTGGAAAGCAGGGGCGGGCGGTGGGGCGAAGGCGGGGTGCTGCTGGGGAGACGGCAAAGGAGCGTTGGGTTGGCGGAGGGGATGGGAGAGGGGGGTGGAGGAGGTGGTGGTGGTGGTGCTGCTGGGACGCTGTCTGAGTTGGGCCATTTACCGTTGAAGATGTACAGGTTGGAATACTGCTACTTTGTTGCTGTGTCCGTTTCCTCTTTGCCCCCTCCACCTCCTCATACCCATTCCACCTCCTCACGCCCATTCCACATCCTCATGCCCATTCCACATCCTCATGCCCATTCCACATCCTCATGCCCATTCCACATCCTCATGCCCATTCCACCTCCTCATGCCCATTCCACATCCTCATGCCCATTCAATATCCTCATGCCCATTCCACATCCTCATGCCCATTCCACATCCTCATGCCGCTTCCACATCCTCATGCCCATTCCACATCCTCATGCCCATTCCACCTCCTCATGCCCATTCCACCTCCTCATGCCCATTCCACATCCTCATGCCCATTCCACATCCTCATGCCCATTCCACATCCTCATGCCCATTCCACATCCTCATGCCGCTTCCACATCCTCATGCCCGTTCGACATCCTCATGCCCATTCCACATCCTCATGCCCATTCCACCTCCT